TTATCCTCCGGGAGTAGGAAATACTAAGAGCAGATAACTGGTGGTTCAAAGATGGATCAAAAATTATTTTGTTCTGGTGTAGGTGTATATAGTCGCAGTTCCAGATCAGAGATATCAACCTGCCTAAATCAATAAAAATATTATTGAGGAGTCTCGCGGATTTCACTAAAGAAGCTCCAAGAAGATGAATGTCTGGCGATGACCAGGAAAAATCTACGCTGACTGGCCACTGTAAACTAAGGAAACACCTCCATAATATGGGGCTAGTGACACACCTCTATGCAGGATGTGTGAACAGGAGAGTGTGTTTCTGTCTAAAATCTGTTTGTCGCCCCCATACGAACGACAACTCTCATAAGTTGAGAAACTTGTGCGAGCTAAGGACTAACGAGGTCCTCCCTTTTAACGTGTGATTCCTAACACGGTTGCAGAATCATTCCAGCTTCAATCAGATAAATTCAACCGAAAAAAATATCTGGTCGAAGCGGGAATCGAACCCACAGCCTTCCGATTGTGAGTCGGGCGCACTACACCAGCCGATGTAAAGGAGACGTCTCCCAGTGACCTGATGTCCACCTTCCTGAAATGGACAGGATCGACGATGACCTAGGAGGACAACTCCTCGGGAGGATATACCTACAATGGGTCACATGTGGCCTAAGTGATGTGGGCCTACACTCACCCTTCCTACACTACAGATACATATCCAGTTTATTGTATGATTTTCACTTTAAAGGGTTTTATGGTTATTGTATAGCAAAACACGTGTCGCGGTTTTTGTAAAAGTCTTTATAGTGAAAATCATACAATAAACTGTATTGATGAATTTCAATATGGGTTTTCATCAAGTATGGGCTTGTTCTATTCAATTTCTTGTAATGTGTTAGAAGAATCAGTCGTTAGATTTGCTTAACGTCAACTTATGTTGATTTTGCGGTTTGTCTACATAAAAAGCGACCCATTTCATGATTTTCATTCTTATTAGCGAAATAACTAAATTATTTCATGATTTAACCACTCACTGTATATTCTAGATGTGTTTCTGGAGAGGAGACGATAAATTAACAAATACGACATACAATTCAATTGATATTTATTGTTTCCCAACTTTACATGATATCTCGGTTTGATATGTTTCACAAAAATAGGTTATGTAAGACTACAAAAGGGTATTTATTTTTCTATATGTATATACATTAGATTATTCAAAAATATTAAATGCTACACGATACAAATAACGTTGTTACAAAAAACTCTAACACACAATTAACTACTGATAACGGTTGATGATGACTAATAAAAATTACGAAATTGGGAAGTCATTAGTGTGAATTATGAATCAATATTTTCGAAATATATGGGTATCTCAAATAAAAATATTTATTTTAGGACATGTCAGTTAATGAATTAAATCACTAAAGTGAAATAATCAGTTAACTAATAACTGTACGATTACGACAGTAATTTGGAAATATATTTAAAAAAATTCAATTATTTTTTTAATTACCTACATATTTTTTTCAAATTCTCTTCTGAAATTACCATTCAAAATGTCAAATTCCCAAAAATATTGTTTTTACTATACAGTATTGTGACGCTTGAAGATGCTATCATATAGCGAAACACGTGTCGCTATTTTGTAAACTTTCAAGTAGAAATCTCACATTGAAGTGTGCTCTTTGAATAAGTCTAAATTTCATTATTAATTCTGACATCAGTACAGATAACGAAATTCTCTATAAAACAACTTTTTATTCGCCTTAGAAAAAAGTATTCAAAAATACTTTTGGTAACCGTGAAGCTATGATAAAAAAAATTATTATTAATAATTTTCTGGTGGAATCAACATTCACATTGTATCATTATGGGATGTTAACTGCACACCTCTCAAATTGTTTTCAGATCTTGGTGAGTTGGCCGTGAAACATCGTGCGGATATGCAAAATCGCGCTCTTTTCATTCGGCACTGGAAACAAAAGACTATTGTTGATTATTATTGCTACTGTCAAAAACTGTATTGAAACAGAACCGTCGGATTATGAGAAAAATATTGCGTAAAGCGGTAGGAATAATCATGAGAGAATCAAAAAATTGAACTTGTGCACCTTGTCGGAAATAATGCTCTTTCCGCAAGAGAAGCTACTAGTGAATTTCAGTAACAGTACAGTGAACCGTATAAATTCTGTTTTTAACGATACAGGTCATGTATCGAGGCATATGCTCAAAAACACATCGTGAGAATATAAATGGTGTGCGAATACTGACATATTTTCGAAATAATACTCATTCAAGCTAGCGATCGGCTAGTTGGAACTTAACTATTCCTAGAGAAAATATCAGGAAATGCCTTGTAAAAAATAAAATAAAACCATTCAAGCCAAAAATTGTACACACTCTGGAACCGGGAGATGAAGAAAGAAGGTTAGAATTCTGTTTGTGAGCTCAAGGAGAATATTTGAGTGATATACACTTTCACAAAACAATTTTGTTTAGTGATGAATCTACGTTCACTACAAATGGAGTAGTCTCGTCCAAAAATTCTAGGTACTGGTTTGCGGATAATCCTAATTGTGTTATAAACGCAGAAAGGCAATATTTTCATGAAATAAATGTGTGGTGTGGAATAATCCATGATGAGATTAGCGGGCCGTTTTTCTTCGAAAATAATCTGAATGGAAGTATTCATATATAGTCAGTGGGCATACTTGAAATCTGGCTATAAACCAAATCATCTAAAAGAACAATTCGTTTAGGCCAGTGTCAACTCCCTACACTGTAGCTAGGGCCGCAGCTAAAAGAAAAACCAGGGGGAGGAGGGAATCCAAATTTTCCCAACCCCACCAGCAAAATTTCCCAACTTTTCCAAGTCGAAAAAACAGCGAAAAGTTGGGAATTTTGTAAAATTGTCACTTCAAAATTTGTGGACTGTTCTCTTACTTGGGATAAATTAAATTCTTTTGAAGTTTTCAAACAACTCATAATTTCAAAGTATGGGAGATCCAAGTTATGCATGTTGGAAAATCCCAACCTTTTCCTGGTTCTTTCCCTTTTCTCATTGCCTCTCCCTTTCTTTTCTCTCATTTTCATTTTTTATTTGTATTCATTTTTTTACTATTATTTTTTTCTATCTTCATGGCCCAAAATATGCCAACTTTTTCCCAAGTCGAAAAAGCAATGGACTGACACCTTATCTGACACTGACACTTATCAAAAAACAACTACTCCCCTGGCTAATACCACGAAGGGCGTTGGATTGTATCTGACAGGTGTTAGTGCAGGAATCTTTACTGAAGTATGCATATTCTGTTGGCGATACAATTGCCAGAATCGATTTTCAATTATTGAACGGGCACATTTGCAGACCGGTTTCGGGCGATTTGGCCCCTCGTCAGTGCAAGGTAGTGGCCATCATCAACATAGAGTCGATGATATTCCATAATCGAATCGAATTGATTTCTGCACTTACATCTGTCAGAAATAATCTAATGCCCTGGCTGATGCCAGGGGAGTAGTTGAACGAATTGTTCCTTTAGATGACTTGAATGGAATTATATTTTTAGACTTTATGAGAAATGAGTTTTGGGAGGCAATACATAACCTACCAGTGCAGGATCGCCCGAATTTGAAGTTTCAATTAGTTGTGGAATTGACCGCGGTGGTAGTGCGCCCGACTCACGATCGAAAGGCCGTGGGTTCGATTCCTGCCGCGACCAGATATTTTTCTCGAGAGAATTTATCTGGTTGAAGCTGGGATGATTCTGCAACCGTGTTAGGAATCACACGTTAAAAGGTAAGACCTCGTTAGTCCTTAGCTCGCACACGTTTTTCAACTTCTGAGAGATGTCGTTCGTATGGGGGCGACAGCTGATTAACGGAAAAACAGATTTTAAAACAGATGGGTCTTCTGTACATAATGCAGTTATTAAAAGAGAATGGCTGAATAATTATGGAAATCGATGGAAAGGTTGAAATAGTTCTTTCATTGAGTGGCCGCCAAGATTATAGGACCTGACACTGCTAGATTTTATTCTTTGGGTCATAATTTGTCCAAAGATTAATTGATCAGAATGAATATGTTCATTCGTTTATTCAATTTGGCATTTTGTTATCAACGATTACAGGCCTTGGTTTTTGGTCCTTGATATACATGAAATAGCTTCAATAGCGAAACACAGGACGGGGTTCAACCTGGAATTAAAATTATCAGATTGTTAACCGTGAAAACCTTTCACTGTACTCGAATGTTGTTCATTTTGATTCACTTTTCAATGTATTCAAGAATTTTATGTGCTGTATTGATTATATTATAAAGTGTGATTTATAGAGAACATTGACATTTTACAATAAAATTAGAAATTTCGTTATTTACGATGAAGAAATTACCAGTCTAAGTCTAAGATCGACATTTGAAAATTAAAATATCATTTTATAGGATAACATCCAAGTATATCTTTCACCAAAGCAACATTATGAGTTCAGAGGCTTTGAGAAATTTCAATAGTGGCGCGCTTAGAAAGAGAACCTATCCGTGTTTTTGCCTGATGATACTAATTAATGTTTTCTTTCATCTTTCAAGTTGTTTTGAGAAGTTGCTTCGACTTTTCTCCAGTTTATTGTTGATTTCAAAAATGAAGTCGAGATTTATCCTTTATCAAAGTGAGGCATTCTATGCCTGAAATTTTGATTAATGACGATCTTCATTTACCGGATAACTTTGGCTCTACACGAATGAATTTTTTAGCAGATGAAGAAATTTAAATCACAAATATATTTCGAAATTTTTGATTGTGGATGGTCTTAGACATCTAGTTATTCAGGTTGATTTGTATTGAAAATAAGATGAGAAAACAAAATTAACCGATTCTTAACGAATTCTTCACATTAAAATTCACATATGAACTGGTCACTCGAGTCCCAGTTATCATATTGTAGTTCTCTGCAATTTTCTTTAAGACATTCTTCAAAATTAGGCTACATGTTTAGAGGGAATATCAATCAACTTATTCATAATCAGTCTATTAAAAAAAACAAACCAGTAACTTATGTGAGTGCTTTGAATACAATAAATCATAGTAAATAATATTATTTAACATTATGAATGAACGATAGTGATGCTAACATACAAAGTCAGTTTAATTCATTGTAATATTTCTCGTGGAAGCTCTTGGCACTTTCTCAGACGAAAATAAAACCAACTCCGTTTTTGCAAGTATTTTTCGAGCATGTCTTATCAGATTCAGAATGAGCTCTGAGCCATTTTCCGTGACAGTGCGGAGCAGAAAGGGCCGACCATCGAGTGACACGTCCTTCAACCCCATGACCTTGACATCTCCATTCTAGGTTTTCGTGGAGGGCTTCCGACTCGCATCTTACGCAGACTCTATCACCTGCAAAAAACCAGTAAGTTTTTATTGCTGAAATACTTCTTTCAATTTGAATTTAAAAAAAACAGATAAATTAGTGTTCTCCGTTTGGAGAAAAACGTTTTTATTTGATGATTTCTCAACTCTGAAGACAATTGACTGAATTTAGAACAGTGGTTAACAGAATCATTGACTTTGAACTTTAATTATAATAATAAATTGTTTATTGATTGCCGGTAAAATAATTACAGGACTGTAAAACTTAACCTAAAGAAGACAGTCAAACAAAAGGAGTAGTGTTAGGTTCCACACTCCTTAAAAAAAATTGTAAATAATAAATCATTATTGAAAAATCTACAAATCTTCCATACTTATAATAAGGTACGTATCCATAACCTATGTTAATAATTAATACTTATAATATATCACTGGTTAACAAATATAACCTATGAAGATACATTTTATTCACAAGGTTATATCATTGGTGGGCCAACAATTTTTTTTTGAAGAAATTCTAAGACAATGCAAAATCGGGAATATCCAGTAAAGAGGCAGTTATAGCAATCTGATAAGACAAGGAGGATTTAAATATCTCTTTTTTATGAATTGGAATATCAATAAGATTCTTTCTCTTCAAATTAGGATTATGAACATATGTCCTGTATGTGACTCTCTTGCACAGATATTCAGGCGTATTAGTTTTGAGGATTTTATAAAGAAAACGCGAATGTAGTAAACGACTATTAAACATATTTAACCAACCCATTTCCTTAAGCTTATGTGAAATCTTACCTCTTCTTTTGAGACTGTGAATTAGACGTAGACATGAATTTTGTACCTTTTGGATACGAAAGGCATCAGATTTTCGAGGAAAATGACCATACACATGTCAAAAAGGTTGAAATGAGATAAAACCATCGACATAGATAACATTTTTTTTGTTTTTAAATTCATTTCATTTCGATGAGGATATAACAATTTCAGAGCTGAGTATGCCGTTTTCAGTTAAAAGTGACATGTTTACATACATGATTTTTAGAAAATGTTTTTCCGTTAATGTTACGAGTCGTGATAAGTCTGCATTAATTATAACCTTAGCTTTTTCAATTTAGGCCACATTGAAAGAAAAATACACTTGAGTATTATCAGCATATAAATGATAATTACAATGGAAAAAATGATGATTAAAGTATATAAAAGAGGACCAAGAATGCTACCTTGTGGTACTCCTCGTTGAATGGTTAGACTATCTGAAATTTCATCATCAATCTTCACATGTTGTTGACGATCTGTTAAATACGATTTGGGGAGTACCACTGAAGTCCTGCTGAATATTAACAATAGTATCTCATGGTTGATCGTATCAAAGGCACGGGAATAATCTATCATAATAAGAAAGCAAATTTTGTTGTCGTCTAGCGTCTTTACTTATATCATCAGTAACAGCACTCTAGGCCGACGAATAACTGTTTCCGCTTCTGAAGCCAGACTGATGTTCAGGAAGTAGTTATCGGTTTGAAACATAGGTGCGGTTTTTTCTTAATTTTTTTCTATAATTTCAGACACTTATACTTCTCAACTGGCTGAAATCGATTGCATTAGGAACTTTTGGCAAAGGTAAAACAAATGCTCTTTTCCAGGCGATAGAAAAATAATTTTCATTAATACAGGCATTGAAAATATTCGTCAAAAGGGTACAATAAATGGACAAAAAAGTAAAATGCTTTGACTGTTCATATTAGCATGACCAAAAGCTTTTGTTTTGATGTTTTTAACAATTTGCATCCTCAGTATGTTTGAAGAAAAATTGTTCATTGATTAAAAAAATGTTATATTCTTCAGGATGTTTCAATGACTCCGGTATTACAGTATTATGTTACGTGTACGGGTGATTATCCAGTGAAATTGATAGTATTGTTACGTCTATGGGATTTTTCAATAGTGATGCAGCAATACAAATATACAACTTGAAAGCAGTAATATTTGTATACCTACTTCAATAACTTCACCCACTACCGTTGTCATTTGGACTACCAACGGCACAGCGTGGTTATAAAAGTAGAATGGAACTGATAGATAATTTTCGATTTTCACTGCATTCATTATCCCCTCTAGAATGATTTCGAACGATAGATAGACACGCTTTTCGTCGACCATTAGTTTCGCATAAGTTCATTTACTTTTTTATGGACCTTTCTTGGGTATTCTCATCTTCTACTCAACTTTTAAAAAAACGTCCGACGAAGATGGATGTTAGATGTCATGTATAAACAAAACCTATTTTCAATATGGAGATATCAACAAGAATTCGACATGGCTATGGGTTTCCCTTTCTCTCTTATCTTAAGTAACATTTATATGGAACGTTTTGCAAAATCTTCTGGTGAGACTCACCAGTGAGGTCCCAAAGTTTGGTGGAGATATGTTGACGATATCTTTGCTGTTTGGAATGGAAACCATGATAATCTTAATACGTTATTAAATTATATCAACGAACAGGAACCGACAATAAAGTTCACAGTAGAGATTGAACAAGATGGTCAATCCCCTTTCTTTGATGTAATGTTGTCATATCGTCATATCAATTTGACACAAATGTTTATCGAAAGAAAACACATACTAATAGATATCTCCACTACACATCAAATCATCATGCGAGTGTTGAAAAAGGTATAATAAATTGTCTTTATAAAAGGAAAAAAACGATATGCAATTCAACTGAAAATTTTAATGACAAAATATCATTAATAAACTTGTGATGCACTGTTCGTAACTTTTGGTGTAGTAATGAATATTTGTGGAGTGTTCTCCCAACACCAAGCCAATATTTCAACACCTCGACACGTGTTTCGATCACCAAGTGATCATATTCTACAGGAAAATTAGACTAAAATATACATACAATGTTATCCTTATTTATACCATAGATAGATACCCGCGTTTTAATCGTCTTGAATTAATTTCATGTTGACTTATCTACTAGTAATTAAATGAGAATATGTCATTATGTAATAGTCAGGTAAATCTGATAATTAAAATATTATTTCAACAAGCTATATAGTATACTATGAGGTATTGGTCCACCATCGTTATTCACAATATTATTATGATTACTTATTTCTACACTCTCGTAGACATCTGGATGCTTGTTGTTGTTAACTTGTCTTACTAATCTTAATATGATGTGCGACTGCTTATTTTTCAGGTAGACCTTTTAGTCTGTCCATAATATTTTGCATCGCAGTCCTTACATTTGATTTCGTAAATTCCAGACTTTTCCGAATTCTCGACTTTGAAAGGCTCTGTAGGGTATGACTTGTTTCAAATACCACCCTCATATCCAGTTGCTTGAAAATCTTTCCAAAGTTGTTCGTGTATTGGTTTTATGGAACTGAGATATATTCATCTCGGTTTTCGTCGTTTCTAAAAATCGAGATTCAGTTTCGTTCTCAACCTAAACTTTTCTTCCTTATATATAATATCATCAAGGATCCATTTCGAAATGGACCTTGTTTTCTGTTATACAATGTTCTGTTCTGTCAGGGATGTCATAATTAACGCTTGATTATGATCTTCATTACCAGGATATTTACTGAGTCAGTCTGAATTCCTTTCTCTTGAATCACATTGTCAAAGGAATTTTACCTGCTTCTAAAATATCGAATTTATGTGTGATGTGAATTTTTGTTGATCTCGCAGTGCTAAAACTAGTGGGGGAGGGCTATTTTTTCCTCCTTTGCTGTTGATTGGAATGACTATTATCAAAGGTTAGATTTTGTACGTGACAAAATTTTCCAAGGATTTCCAAGGTAGCAGCTATACTTGAATCTATTATTAGGACACACTATGGAGGGTAGAGGTAAGGAGAACCGTCTCATATGGGAGAAAGCCTGAAAAGGTTTCCAACTTTCAACAGTAAATAACAGTTCAAAAACCCTCCAGAATGGCGCGAAGTCCAAACTAATTTCGTCAATATAACCTAAAATTATCGCTGTGGTAAAACGTGGACACGTCGATTGAATTTTCTTATCAGCAGAGTACGGCCCGTCCCGTCAAAATACGGATAGGATTGGAACAAGAAAAATGAATGGACAACCGCCCACTAGCCCGGCACGGCACAGCCAAGAGCGTCCGCCGCCGGAAAGGATTCCAGTTCTCCGATCCTGACCGGCAAATACCGGAACGTGTGGAGCGTGTCGCCGGCTAGCGCTTGCCAGCATCAACTTGTCCAAACGTGCCTTGGAAGTTTTTGTCTTTTTGCTATTCCATCAGCGTCAGACGATACCAATGAAAATGGACGAGAAAAATTGACCTGATTGTTAAGGCAGGCTCTAGAATATCCAGAACTTCTGAAAATTTGCCTGGAATCATTCGAAATACTGGAAAAATTTCTCCTCGTCTTCTTTCAGATCGTTGAAAAGATAATGAAACTCTCTCAGATTTGCCCTCTTTTGATTAATGGGATGGACCCACAACATTTTTTTTGTGGTTATTTTCTTAAACATGTTTCTGTCACCGCTCGATGTCAACTGAAATGAGCCTTTTTCCTGAAATACGAAAAATCACTCACTAGTAGCGCTAGTAGTTCGGTAGGGACAAACACTGCCTAATTCTCATATAAGATGTTCCTGGAGCAAAACTAAAATTTGCAACTGTAAGGGATAATGATGTTGTAACATTAAAACGTTAGCTTGCATGTCGTAATTTAAAAGTAACTGAAAAAAAGTAAATTAATAGACAGGTTAGTATACAGACTATAGTAAAATAGTAGCGATAGATTCAAACTGTAATAAAATAAATTTAAAATAATTATGAATTTCAGATTTAATTCCGAGTGAAATATGAATCAAATATAGATGGTAATGAAATAAATTTAATCAAAATATGATAAATGAACATAATTTAATTAACGATTGAGGTTATATCTCATTCTCATCAATGGTAGTTATCTATTAAAAATTTACTATTCATTTTATGTTTAGAGCATACATATGAATATTTATTAATTTTTTGCACTGTTAAATCCACTCTCATCGAAGCATGTATCCATTTCTCACATCTAACCTCATTAATATGAGGTTTTATAAATGGTATAAAAACACGTTTTCTTCCAGATATCGATTATCCGACGTACAATTCGCAAAACAGCAATGCTTTGTTGGCATTATACTAGCACAAGATAACTTTTATATCAGATTTATATTTTTAATTAATGAATTAATAATACGTAAATAACACTGTTTTACATGTGAATCGTTTTATGTTTGTCCCTACTACTAGTGCTACCTCTCGTGACACGTTCGCTGTACTATTCTCAGGAAAAAGGCTCATTCCCTTGAAATCGAATAAACAGCACCTTCTGTCTTCAGTCCGAGAATACCTGTGGTGGTAGGTATTCTCGGCTTCAGTATGCTGGTTGTAGCTGGACAACTGGGCGATGCTACCACAGCGCCGTGCCGTGCTGTGCCGGAAAAGTAGGCGACAAAATTTATAGTTATCTCCACATATTAAAACTAATTCTGCCTTCTCGGCTAACGTTAACTGTCTTGAAGGAAGTATACACTCGATAATCGAACAATAATTATTCAAGAATGAGCAGTTAATGTCACCAAACTGTAAAATTGTTTTCTTTCAACCCCCATTTTTTTGTGCCAAGGGTATCTGCAATAGTTACAATAGGATTTAATGTTTGTCGATTAATTTGTACAGCTTTTTCATAAACATTTCAGATACAAAATGTTCACATTAAATGAAAGTTTTTGATTATGCATATTATCATTAATGATGTTTTACCTTGTTAAAAGTATGGTTTGCGGAAAAGTTGAACTGACTATATCGTTGCAACAAACATGAAGTTTGTGATTCCCCAAAAAACTAAAAATCCAAGTTAATTCCACAAATATTCTTGAATTTGAACAAAGTTATGCTCAACTGATTTTGTTGTGAGAACTTCATGGAAGTGTTGAGGGTGATTAAAAAATATACAAATTGGGAAATAGTTAATGAAAAAAAAATGATTTGGAGGCCATGTTTTGGTATATAGGTATTACTTTCAATTGTAAACAACTTTTCTCAATAACATTTTGCTGAATTCTCTGGAACGAGGTAGTTCTATAAATTTTTATATTTTTTGACCTATCCTATATGTTGATTGACTTGCAACCATTCTAAGTGTACCTAAAATAATCATCGAATAAGAACCAACTTTTGTCAATATTTGTATTTTTGTTGTGTAGTTAATTAAATAAATTCCCATATGTTGCACACCTAAATGACCACCTTGTATATGAAGTTTCGCCCTTGAGCATACCACCATCCGGAAAAGATACAAAAAGCACAAGCAACTATGATAGTTTGAAACATAGAAGAAAGGTTGGGGACTAATCCCTTTTCTATGGATACTTTATTTCCAGTTAGCCTACTTGGTTACAACAAAAAGCGGTGTACACATTTTTAGAACTTTTCATTTAGGAAATGATGTAATTGTGGAATACATTTCCCTAGACCGTATTTCCATATTGTTAAAATCTATAGTCCGTTCATAATTTGTTGATAGCTCACTGCAAGTTTGACCCTCATTAGAGAACTGAAATACAGAGAGGACAGCTAATATGATATAATAACAAAAACCAAACTAAAACTGGCAGTTTAAGATGTTTTCGACTAACCCACCTTGTATCTGAAGAAATACAATACAGCTATAAAACTTTTAATCCGATTATGTAGGTATTTTGAGTGGAAATGAGTGACCAGTGTCGTAGAGTATATGATTAAAACATNGAAGCCATCGCAAGCAATCAAACAAAACAAGCAGGAACGAAAGGTACGTATATGTTTGTAGGAATATGAAAAAAAGTTACTCACGCACTGCACAAAATTCGCAAAATAAATATTAGAGACGTTAATTACTGCCGTAGACGCCGAAACACCAACGAGCCGTAAATTAAATGCGATTAAAAAATGTACTAAACCAAAAATTATTTTCGTTCGTAACAACTTCACCCTTTCAAGGCAAGTTTCGAATATAAACTGAAGCTTTATATTTAATGAATAAACACCTCAGGAACCTCCGCCTATGATTTTACGATTTTACGAGTTTTACGACCGTTTTATGACTTGGGCCCTCATTTTGTGCTATCGACAAATTATGAACGGACTATACATGATTCAACGTAAATCTTCACTTTCGCATAGGAAATGTCTCGTTTTTATGCATCTCCATGAAAAATAAAAGAATATCGCCTTAACGAAGTATTAAATAATTTGCTATGAATAATATAACTCTTGTTCACATACTATTTTTTGAATAAGTAACGATTCATTTGTTAAAAAAAATGAATCTTGATATTTCCAACAAACCTTCTTTTAGTGTTTTGAAATTTTCCTCTTTCCTGCAGGCTTTAGATGCTTTGAGAACTTCAAATTCCACACAGTATCTGAAAAAGAAATTTAATGTTATGAATAATATAACTCTTGTTCACATACTATTTTTTGAATAAGTAACGATTCATTTGTTAAAAAAAGTGAATCTTGATATTTCCAACAAACCTTCTTTTAGTGTTTTGAAATTTTCCTCTTTCCTGCAGGCTTTTGATGCTTTGAGAACTTCAAATTCCACACAGTATCTGAAAAAGAAATTTAATGTTAGATACTGGACTTATTTTGATGTAGAAGAAACTCTTCCTAAGAAACTATTTCAAACTTATTTTTTTCATATCATCTATTCAATCGTGGTCATATTGGTCAAAATTACGATCAACCTGTCGTTAACTGTGGGTAATATGGAAATTCCAAAATAGATTATTTACTAACATCAGTCTTAGTGTGGAAAAGCATTTGTTTAAACATTGATTGCAGAATGAAGCAAAGTCAAAATAAAAACTCAGATAATTTGAATATTGTATCATACGAATGTGGACATTATTGACAGAAAAAAAACGTGTCACCTTTGTTTAGGATTGTATTACAAATCTCATCGAAACCACCCAATTTATGGCAAAATTGCTAAAATGTACAATAAAACTTTGATAACGTACGCAAACACCGTAGTTTTGATAACTTTCAAAGCGGAAATAGTAGGTAGGTAGGTAGGTAAGTAGGTAGGTAGGTTCTAAAGTGAGTGGGTCTATTCGACCCTCCACCGCAACCCATGAGGGTTTATTGTGGCTCACACCTATTCACACTCGGCCAAATAAACCCAGCTTCTTAACGAAGCCGATTAGTTTGTATGGTGAATGGTCTTTCAGGTCAGATGGTGAGAGTACGGATCTGCCGAACTCAAAGAACCTGATTCGGTCCCCAGCGGGACAGGCACCAAGTATATGCTCTGCAGTTTCATCATTTTCCAGACAGAGGCGACACACACTGTCTACCGACAGACCAAGTCTCTGCATGTGATGATTCAAATGACAGTGACTTGTAAGAAGGCCTGTTAGACATCGTAGTTCATCCCTACTGTAGTCCAACAACTGTTTGGAATCAAGCTTCGAAGGGTGAATAAACGCCTTGGAGTGAGCCAAT